TGGATTGCATTGGGTTTCATTCAGGAATCTCCTATTGAAGGAGAGACTTTGGAAGATTTTGGAGGAAGGTATTTTGATGTTTTGGTCAGAAAATCTTTCTTTGATGAGTTTCAGCAGTGTGAGAGAATACACTATAAGATGCATGATTTATTGCATGATTTGGCACAGTCTATTTCTTCAAAGGAATGTTTCGGATTTGTGGGAGATGATGTTTTATCTTTTGAAGTTCCTAAAAATGTTCGACACTTACTTGTTAAAACTGAAAATCCAGAAGTGTTGAGAATGATAAAAGATGTCAAAAATCTACGTTCGCTTTTTCTTATCAGTGAAAGACATAGTCAATGTTTTACTGAAATACTTACTGAAATTTTTGAAACATCGAGAAGGATTCGTTTGTTGTTCATATACTCTCCATGGCAGCGAAAGATTTCTGAGGCTATTAAAAATTTGAGACATCTTCGATATCTGAATCTTGCTGCACGTCTGACTCAGATGCCAAGATCTCTAAGCAGTCTTTATCATTTGCGGTTCATAATCTATAAAAATGTGCTTGGGGAATCTTGCTCTGATGATTTCTTGCCTAGCAATGTGAGTAATCTTTCTAATCTGCGTTACGTGGAATTGCCCCCGAATGTATTTTCTAGTGTACCTGGAATCGGGAAATTAAGATCACTTCAAGAACTAAATGAGTTTAATGTTAAGAATGAGAATGGTTATAGAATTGAGGAGTTGGAACATACGAGGGAGTTGCGCAAATTAAACATTCATTTTCTGGAAAACGTGAAGGATGCTATAGAGGCTGGCAATGCAAAATTATTTGAGAAAAGAAAGCTCACAGTTTTATACTTGAATTGGGGCAATATCGGTAATGAACGGAAGATTGTCAATTCTGACTTAGATGTGAATGTGCTTGAAAATCTTAAACCATACAAAAATCTCAAGAGATTGTGCATAGTTTCATACAAGGGTGTAAGCCCTGCAGAATGGATGTACAATGCAGATTTGATCTCCAATCTGGAGTACATCAGTCTGAACGGGTGCTCGGAGTGGGAAACTCTTCCACCTCTTGGGCAGCTTCCCCACCTCAAGTCACTGGACCTTTGTAACATGCCAAAAGCAAAGCGGCTTGATCATAAATTCCATGGGAATGACAAGGTTTCTGTGTTTCCATCGTTGGAGGTGCTAAGTATTATCGAATTACAAGTATTGGAGGATTGGTTCGATGGAGCAGCAGCATATGACTGTTTCTTTCCTTGCTTAAGGGAACTCTACCTCCATAACTGCCCAAATCTGCAGGAGTTGCCCTACTTGCCTCCTAAGCTCAAGGAAATGAGTATACGAAACATCGGATGGAAGGCTGCTTTGAACTGGAAGCAAGAAACCAACAACTGTTGCGGCATTTCAAGATTGATTACCCTTGAGACATTAGAGGTCCTTTCGTGTCCAAACATGACATCTCTTCTTTCTCTTGGTGGACTGCAACAAGTGGAGAGTGGCATTGAGAAATTCCAGCTTATTGTCAGTGAAGTTGTTATAGATGACCCATCCTTGTTGCCAACGGTAAGTATCCCCTCCTTGGAAAAGCTCACAATTTGTAATAATAACGTGCTGGTTTCTTTTACAATTGAGGCGGAGCAGTGGTTTTCTCGCGTTAGCTCATCCCTTCGTCAGCTGAGCTTTACAGGCCTCAAATCCCTGCAGTCTCTCCCTTCCTCCTTGAAACACCTCTCTTCACTTGAGATTCTACGTGTCAAAAAAGTTCCTCAGCTCCAGCAGCTTTTACACATCCCCGCCTCCCTGAAAGAATTACATCTTCAATACCTGGACTCATTGCAGTGCCTGCCATCTTCTTTGTCGAACATCTCATCCCTCGCCCATTTGAAATTTCAAAGCATTCCACTCCTCAAGTCATTGCCAGACCTCCCTTCCTCCTTGTCTGCTCTGGATATAATTTGTCTTGATAACCTAGAGTGCCTGCCATCTTCTTTGTCGGACATTTCATCCCTCAGGCATCTATTCTTATATAGCATTCCACTCCTCAAATCATTGCCAGACCTCCCTTCCTTCTTGTGTTTAGAAGTAGAAGATTGTCATCCAGAGTTGATGGAGCGTTATGAAGAATATTGAGGTTCTGATTGGCACAAGATTGCGCAAAAAAAAAATTTTCGTCGTTTGGTTTTCGCGGCAGCGGCCGGCGAAAGCTGAAAAAGGCGGAACGTCGGGCCGCAGATATGACCCCGCGTCCCGCGTGGAAACGCTTTAATCCCTCTGCTACCCTCGCGCTATCCCTCGACTCATCTGCCCTCGACGCGAAGCCGACCCGCTCTGCTCCCTCGACCCTTCTGCACTCGACGCGAAGCCCACCAGCCGATCTCCTCCCTCGACGCTTCTGCCCGTGCCGACCGCAGCCTCCCAAGCTTCAGCCAGGTATTTCTCGTTCTCCCTCGACTCCTCCACCCCTAGGTAATTCCTTCCTTCCGTTTCTTCTACCTACCAAACTTTCTTGTTCGGACAGGCGGGAAGGAATCACCTGTACGACGCTGCACCATTCCCACAGCCCGTTCATCACATCTCTCTCTTCGCCTTCACACGTTTGGGAAGAATCCGCCATTGCTTCCCTCCGCCAGCTTCAGTATTACTACTGTAAGATTTTAAAATTTCATTACTTGTGAAGCATAGTTGGGGCATGTTTACATTTCAGAAATTGTATGGTTTTTATTTTTTTTTCTCTGTTTCTCATACCAGAACTGAATTGTACATCTTTTATTTGTCTTTGAAGAAAGACTTACGTTGGAATCAAAGGAAGAACCACTCAATTATATTACATCGTTACACTGTGATCTAGAATTCTTCATTGCATTTTCTAGTTTGAATTGTTTTATTTTTAACTGGACAAAACATTACTAAACATTTATGAGCTTTTCTTTTAATGATCCGGTATGGGTTCAGTAAAGAGATTGTTGAATGCCCAGGTATATTACATGAACTTAAATATAAGGAATATTTTATCCTATCTTTGGTTTCCAATGTTCTAAAATTTTTTTGCTCCATCTGCTTTTCCTTGTGCTTCAATGGATTTATGTTTTATAAGCGCTAATCAGGCCATTGGAATTCCAGTAAGCTCTGTGATATACGCAACTGGGGACTTGAAAGGTGAAGCTGCCGAGCGTCTCTCTCTCATGCCCGCTTCTTATGGTTCTTCTCAATTTCAAAAGAGTAGGAGACTAAAATCTATTTTTCCCCCAAATCTATGTTATAATCATTTATAGTTTTCTTAATGTTAATTATTCTTCATTCACAGATAGAAATCATCCACTTTTTGATTGGATGAATAAGTTTAAGAGCAACGCACATAGTTATGCTAAAGGAATATGTGACCTTGGTAATTCCCCTTCCCACCATGAGTTTCTACGCTTTATCAGTTTTTCATACAAAAATAGCTGCAAAGTTTAGACATTTCCGAGTTTCTGTTCACTTGATTTATAAAGGCAACTAATTTTTACTGTTTAATTAATTGAACTCACAGTGAGTTTGGGATCCACTGTTCTCTCAAACTGTGAAGGGGAAGTTGAGCTTGGGCATGAGGGTTATTCAAGGATGAGGAATCGAAAGATTTTTCAGACAAAATTTCTCTTTAAAAGGAGAGAAGTTCTTGAATGCCTTCCAATGCTATTTGTCAACCACAGCCGGTCCTATTCGAAGGCTAATGGGAGTCAGTTCAATGCAACCTTATATTTAGGATCTTCAACCTTCATAGTTTTTGTAAAATAAAATACAAAGTGCACTTGTAACGTGAAAGTTTTTATTTGAGTTGTGTTTGTAATTAAATTTTAAAATGTTAAAATAATTTAATTACAACTGAAATTAAAAAATTACATAAATTACAAACTAAGAACATGGACAAGCATATAACATATAGTTTACGAATGGAATGAGTGGGCCAATGAAATGTTAGAATTTAATGCACATTGAAAAGGAAGATTTACATACATGCTACTCAATTCCTATGTATTTCCATATCTAGCACCTAAACTTCAATTCTTTAAGTACATAGCACTATATGCATGAAAAACTGTATTTCACCATTTTAAAGTTAAAATGGTGATTTTTGTGATGTGATATGAATTATTTGGGTGTTATAAATGTAAAAAGTAAAGTTTTGCTATTATATATGTAAATGCATATGAATTAGGTAGGATTTATGCAGATACATCTATTAAAAAAAAGGTGAAAATTTATGGGGAAGCTGGTTTGCCCTCGATGATCAGGGTTTCATGTTTTAGGGATTGATAGTTAAAGATAATATTTTGATGGTTAATATCATGTTGGACTTTCTGTGTTACAACAAAAAGAGGCAGAAGTGGGGTCGTGTGTTTATTAATTGAATGAAAAAAAGGTGTTGGAATGCATCTTGAATTTATAGTGTATAAGTTGTGATTGTTTGCACCCTCAAGAAGACGTGGGCGGACCCCAGAGAGAGGTTATATTAGAATGTTAGAAGTTGGGACACGTTTTTTTTTAGTTTTGTTGGGTGGTAGAATATTTATGAGGGTACAAAGATGTTAATGTTTTAGTTTTATGCAAGGATCTAGAAAACATATATGTAAGGAATTTTAAAAGAGACATTAAGAATTTTACTTGAAAGAACTGAAAAAATAAAAAAAGGTGAATTCAATTGAAATGATCCACTGTATACATGGTGTTCCAAAAATCTTCACTTCCCTGTTGTTGGAAAACATATGATAACAAAATGGAAAAACTTATTTGGTCTCTCGTGTCTATAAAGATTATGAAAAAATAGTAAAATCATTGCCAGAACTCACTCCCTCTTTGAAATATCTCATCCCTCAACTGTCTATGGTTAAATAGCACTCCACTCTTCAAATCATTGCCAGAACTCCCTCCCTCTTTGAAATATCTGCATATGTATGTATATAGTCTTGATAACCTAGAGTGCCTCCCATCTTCTTTGTCGGCCATCTCATCCCTCGATCATCTAGATTTAAAAAGCATTCCACTCCTCAAATCATTGCCATAACTCCCTCCCTTTTTGTCTTGTCTGGATATAAAGAGTCTTGATAACCTACAGTGCCTGCCCTTTTCTTTATCGGCCATTTTATCCCTCAAGCATCTAGAATTACATAGCATTCCACTCCTCAAATCATTGCCAGACCTCCCTTCATCCTTGAAATATCTGACTCTATCTAGACTTGACTCTATATAGACTTGATAACCTACAGTGCCTGTCATCTTGTTTGACGGCCATCTCATCCCTCACCTATTTAGAATTAGAAAGCATTCCACTCCTCAAATCATTGCCAGAACTCCCTCCCTCTTTGTCTTATCTGCATATGTATGTATATAGTCTTGATAACCTAGAGTGCCTCCCATCTTCTTTGTCGGCCATCTCATCCCTCGATCATCTAGATTTAAAAAGCATTCCACTCCTCAAATCATTGCCATAACTCCCTCCCTTTTTGTCTTGTCTGGATATAAAGAGTCTTGATAACCTACAGTGCCTGCCCTTTTCTTTATCGGCCATTTTATCCCTCAAGCATCTAGAATTACATAGCATTCCACTCCTCAAATCATTGCCAGACCTCCCTTCATCCTTGAAATATCTGACTCTATCTAGACTTGATAAACTACAGTGCCTGCCATCTTGTTTGACGGCCATCTCATCCCTCACCTATTTAGAATTAGAAAGCATTCCACTCTTCAAATCATTGCCAGAACTCCCTCCCCCTTTGAATTATCTGCCTATAAATAGTCTTGATAACCTAGAGTGCCTGCCATCTTCTTTATCGGCCATCTCATCCCTCATCAGTTTAGGTTTAGATAGCATTCCACTCCTCAAATCATTGCAAGACCTCCCTTCCTCCTTGGATTCAATAACAGTAGAAGATTGTGAGCCAGAGTTGATGAAGCCATATAACAAATATTGAGGCTCTGATTGGCACAAGATTGCATACGTTCCTTGTGTCAGCATTAATTTTATTTAAGACTTGTTGTGTTTGTAATTAAATTATAAAATCATTGTTTTGCCGTTAAATTTTAATTTCAATTGTAGTTAAAATATGATTTGTGAATTTGGATTGGATTGGGGAGTCTTATACAGCATTAAAGTTAAAATATTGATGATTTCTTCTCCTCAAATTTGAATGTATAAATATATTTGTTTGGATATATGGATTTACCTATTCTTATAGGTAGGAGGATCACACTAGTTGGGTTAATTTGGACTTGTAGACTCTTATTTCAAGATTTGGACATTTATTTTAAATTATTAAATTCGTCAACTCTAGTCTTTGCGAAGAGGAAGATCAGACTAGTTGGGGTGATTTGGACTTGTACTCTTAATTGAAGATTTGGACATTAATTTTAAAATTACTAGACTCGTCAAATCTAGTCCTTGCAGGGAGGAAGATCAGACTAGTTGGGGTGATTTGGACTTGTACTCTTAATTGAAGATTTGGACATTAATTTTAAAATTACTAGATTCGTCAAATCTAGTCCTTGCAGGGAGGAAGATCAGACTAGTTGGGGTGATTTGGACTTGTACTCTTAATTGAAGATTTGGACATTAATTTTAAAATTACTAGATTCGTCAAATCTAGTCCTTGCAGGGAGGAAGATCAGACTAGTTGGGGTGATTTGGACTTGTAGAAGTGTATGATCTCCTAAGTTAGTATTGAATCCCTGGTGCCATTATCTTGGATGAGAAGTTTTCCAGATGAGGTGTTATTTAGTGGAAATCTTCTCGGAAAAATTGAGAAATCTCGAGATATTATCCTTTGTTTCTCCAACGGTTGCATAGGAAAATTAATTATAATTGTTTGGGAGAAGCAGCAACAAACAAGAAAATATATTCATAGAAATTAATAAATCAAGATAAGGTGTTATCTTTTGCATATGTGGAGATTCCAGAATAAGGTTTATGAAATCTCTTGTGATGTTATTCTGCCTCATCTTCCATTGTAGTGCTGTTGAAGGTATTGCTAAAATGCTTGAGGTGGAGGATTAACATGATTTGATGGACTAAAATTTAGTTGTGCCAATATTATGAAAAGCAACTTTAGGGGTGAAGTGAAGCAATGCGCTGGAAATACCCTATTTTCTTGTGAAGCATAAGCTCATGGAAATGTGTGTGTGCTGTTTTGTAATGTTGCATTTGAAATGTTGCACCCGGCTCCAACTCAAAGCAAAATTCTAGTTTAGATTTCATGGTTTGCATGAGCGCTCTCTTCTTCTCACTGGTTCTTGTAGTAGTTAAATTATTGTGTGTTTTCTCCTTCTCTTTTGTTGCAGCTTATTATTCTTTGTTGATTCTCTTCTCTATGTTTTGTTTTGTCTTATATGTTTATCATTGTTTCTTGTTACCCATATTATATGTTTATCATTGTTTCTTGTTATCATTGTTCTTTAATTTTAATTTTTTAGATTCGAGTCTCCCTAATCTTTTATTTAAAACTAATCCTATAACAGTGATTATAAGAAGCATGTGGCTTGCATAATAATGAAAATCTATATGATAATCAATCTTGGTCATTCTTATGTAAGCATGTGGTCATTCTTACTATCATAATAATGAATATCCTAAATATTTATTTACTGTGTATTCCCTAAATATCTAACACCAAAACTTTACTTTATTCTACTTTCTAATTGATTTTAATGTTGTGTTCCATGACTTTGTTTTGTTATAGTAATAACATGGAAAGTAAGCCTAAAGAGGTTGCTATACACGCATTGTGGGAAAAAGATACGAAAATAATATTTTG